AGTCAATGGGATTCAGGTACTATAAAAGGTTAAGAGCTTCTGTGTTATTTCAAATGCGTGAATAAATGAATAACAGAAACAAAATGATATTGCTGTTTAGTGGTACATTCTAGTTATGTAGATGTTATTAAATACAGGTCACCTCACTTCCCAAGAACGGTAAACAAATATGGCAATACTCTCTGTTAAAGATAATTTTATATTGTTTTTGTGGTCCATATTTGATTAGAAATAATCAAATAATCAAATGCAATAATTAAAATAATATATTTTGGTTCCACACTTGTGAGTGGATCTAGATTCCCTATGTAGAGGAAAAACAAACAAACCCAGAGAAATTTATTTCATCCTGCATTTCCCATTTTGAGTTCCATAGACTATTGGTTCTGCCTATTATTAATAAACCATACACTTGGAAAAAAAAGGATGGGAGAGAGGGAGGGATGGAAAGAAGGAAAGAGAAAAGATAACAAATAAGGGTGTTTTCTGGTTAAATTAGGTGAGGAAATCCCTGGTTAAACCTATTATAAAACACTGCTTTGTAACTGAGCATCTATGTGCACGGTGGGTCCCTCAGAAGAAAGAAGAGAATGCGCAGTGTTTTCCAAACCTACCTGTCATATGAGTATCACATTCTATAGAAAGACTGATCCAGTCCAGTCCTCTCAATATGCATCTGCAGAAATCAAGGTCCAAAGAGGTAAATGGCATGCCTGAGGCCAGCCAGCTGTTGGGAAAGCAGGGCCAGAACTGGAACCTGTCTCCTGGCTCCCAGTCAAGGATTGTTCCAACTCTCCCACCATGCCAATTAATTAAGAGTGCAGGTGCCTGCCTGCGTAGAGAAGAGCAATGGAGACAAATGGGAAAAAAATCATTTGTTGACTGACTATTGGAAATAAACATCTGAATGGCCAACAGCGATGAGACAGAAGTAATTTTTCATGTTCTCCCACTGAAATGAGAGTCACTGACATTTATTTTTGTATCTAACTTCTGCATGAAGAACATCTTTCCTTTTAGCTCTGAGATGTCTGGAGGACTTGTGGTAGGGTGAGGTTTGGGGAAAGCATGGTATACTTGGCATGATCCAGCACAGGTCACCAAGTTCTACATTTGAATAGGAAGCAGGTGGTGGTAATGGATTTTCTACCTTTCCAATTGCGAAACCAAAGATGAGGGTATGGCCCCAACAGCTGCCTTGGAGTACCGTTACAAAATTCATTAACTGCGGAGCTGACCTTTTTTTTTTTTCCATTCACATCTACAAGTTAGAATTTTTTTCTTCTCTTAAAATAGTCACTTTCAGCATAATAAAGCAGATGAGAAACCCACAGGATTGTGAATTTGGTTTATGGAAAGTCTGAATATCTTCATACCACACCCTGAGAGCAGCCACCTCCATTTGCCTCATCTCCCCCCTTCTACTACTCCTGGGATCTATAGCAGAAGCTGAAGCATTGGCAACTCAAGAAAATGGTATTCTTAGTTGTAGGGTACAAAAGATGGTCAAAGACTCTGAAACCATGAGGGAAGGAGAGAAGAAATGGGAGATTTGAGGGAGGATTGCCACTGCTCTGAGATAAAGGGCAATTTCTGGGTCAGAGAATGGCGGCTTACAACAAATATGTGAAATGGGATGGTGGTGGTAAGAAGGAGCTGATGGAATATGACACACAAAGGCTGTCATCAACTCTTTCTCTCAGTTCTGTGCATATACCTGATAGTCTAACCAAACAGGCGCTTGAAGTTACGAGCTGCATGGCCCTTCCTTCCGATTAGAAACCTTAGGCTAGGTTGCTGTTGTCTCACAATGGAAATGGTAGGAATGTTTTCAGATAAACTACCAGCCTTGGCTCCTACTGCAACCACTCTTCTGCAAAATTTAGCAGTACTAGCTAGGATATGTGGTTGGACTGCAAGGTAATTGTTATGGGACTCTCAGAAATTCTCCTGAGATAATGCAAAATAGTCTACCATGTCCCAACAGAAATGACAATGTTAACAGGATTTGCGCAGAGAGGTGAGTGGTGACACACTTTGAAAAACAAACTAAATTATTTGAAAACTGCTCACAAAGAAAAAGGGAGAGAAAACAAACAAAAAACCCCAACAGCTTCTCATCTAAAAGGAACACACCTCTGACTGTGGAAGTCACCAAGTCCTACCACTGACGTGAAAAAAATACAAACTAGCAAAACAGCAAAAACATATTTCTGTAAATCTGGCTGTTCTAGAGCGTAAGCTAAAGCAGGTCAGCTCAGCTATAATTCTAACAGGAAAAGTCAAATTCTTATTCAGAGATAATCCTGTCTCTAGGAATTTCTCTTTTCAGAAAACTCTTTCTCCCCACCTTTTAAGCTGGGTGACTTGGAATTACCCTTCTGGAGAAACTCAGTAAGCTTTCCCTGTCTGAACTTTTACTAAGCCAGCTAGCTCAGAGCCCTCCTCCCGCATTCTCAACCCGCAAGGAGGCAGAGGACTTCCTCAGGAGGACTCTGCAGCTGCCTTATTGTGTCTCCACTTAGTTTGTCCTTCAAAGTCCGGGGAATGACTGTTCCATAATTCTCACCTGATTAATTCTTAACTATAAGCATAATTACACTCTCCAGAAGGTAAATCGGTCTTATAAATCAGTCGTCGCTGACAGTTCAGTGTGCGCAGCACCATCGACTTGGGCATGGAGGGGAGATGATCACTAAAGCCAAACCCTCCTCAGGCCACCCCCTCTGCCCCCCGCTGCCAGCGCCCTCCGGAGCCGCGGCCCAGGAGCCGGCCACCACCGCCCAACCAGGGGGCGCACAGAAGGCCGCCCCAGGTTTGCCAAGGGTGCCTTTTCCTTTTGAAGAGGCGGCAAAAGGGAAATGGAGAGAAGAAGGCTTAGAGACGTCCCCATTAAAGCTGCACTGAACTCTAGCCTTCTGGCAAGCTGCGGCAAGCCGCCAATTCGAAGTGTGTGAGCTTTAATCTGCTTCTGGCCTGATGGGCTCGGTGTCCACAGGGAGCTGGGAGGCATCCATTACGCTGGACCGAGGAGATGGAGCGTCTAGGAAATATGTTAATGCCGCAGTCCTCCCCGCCGGCCCGCCCCTGCCCTTGCCTGTCTGACAGCCTCAGAAAAAGTGACATTTCAGCAGAGTGTCCTCCTATCAGGGCATCCAAAAATTCACTTCTATTCATTGCATTAAACTTTTTTTTTTCTTTTTTGAGAGTGGATTGAGCAATTCACTTGTTAAAAATGGGAGAGCTTTTTTGGTTTGCTTGTTGGGTCCTGGGAGAGGTTGATTTTTGTGCACAGAAAACCCCACTTAATCGCTTAAATAATGTAACCACTAATGTTTAAAATTAATACGTGAAATATTAGAGTTACATATTTAAAAGTCTATTTTCCTTAGGGATTTGATTCCCATCTGTATAATTTATTCGATTCGTAAATGTGGCAGATTCAGAAACAGTTTTGTAAGGGAGACTTTGCTTAGAATTTGGTCCCATTCACAAAATTTTTTTAAAGGTTCACATATTTCAAATTGGTTTTATCGGTTGAATATATCCTATTTCCTATTTAACTTCCTCAACTGTCCAACTGACAAACTTTACTAGTTATTTTAATACAGCAGTCCTGATAAACTCAAACCAAGGTGAATCCCAAGGTTCTCTTAAATGTCCAAACTGAATATAGGTTTAGTGAGATGTGAACTAAAATGTACAAGTATGACTCAATTACCAATCAATATGTTTAATTGTAATTTAAAAGTGACTTGTTTTTCCCATTGGCTGAATTCTTAAATGTCATAATACATTCATTGGTCAATAGGTCCCTTAACAATAGGGATTATGTTCTGTGATAGGCTTCACTGGGTAATGCTCCTGCTGCCTGACTGTCAGAGTATAATGGCACAGACCTAGGTGGGGTAGCCTGGCAGGCAACTTGCTTCTATATTACAGCCTACTGGGCCCACCTTCCTGTACAGTCCATCACTGGCTAAACATTAAATAACACACGAGTGTACTTAAAGAATAAAATATGCCCAGACTCCCTAATACTAAATATAATGCTATATTTGCATTTGGTTTTCTTAAATATTTCTATACTTATTTCTAAATCTTCCTCAAGTTAAAATATTCTTATTCACAAAAGCAAAAAAATGTAGTTAGATGTAGTTTTGGGTTGTATTGCTGAAAGCATGGTCTCAGCTTGCTGAGGATATGGGTCGCCCTTTCTGGTCTGCAATATTGATAGGAAATGAGGAATGCTGTCTCCAGTAGATGGATAAGCAACTTCAAAATCTAAAGAACAAGGTAGACATGTAGCCCGTGTTCTTCAGTTTTAAAATAAATCATTGCTTAATGTTCAAGTCCATTTAGATTTTATAAACATACTCAAACTTACTATAATATTGAAATGAACATTTTCATATTTTTTGCTTCTAAGTTACAAGTGATTTCTAGTCAAAACCTAAAGTTTACACAAAATTTAAAAACCTGTTTTAAATTAAAGTTTAAAATTCACAAAATAAACAAAATACTGCAACAAAACTCCAGTTTCTCTGTATCCACTGCTCAGTTCTAATAATGGTCAACTCCTGAATGTTGGCCAGATGATTGTGTCCATTAACAAAGGAAGAGAGCTTTTTTAAAAAATAGTTATTTACCATTACTACACCTAAGAATATTAATATTATCAAATACCCAGTGTTTGAATTTCTGATTCTTTCATAAATTTGTGATACAGTTTGTTTGAATCATGATCTGAAGGTGAAAAAAACATTCTACTCACTACAATTGGTTATGTGACTTTTAAGCATCTTTTTATGTGTAAGACCTTCCTCCTATCTTTTTTTTGCAATTTGTATATTGATGAAAAGAATTTATCCTATAGGGTTTCTCACAGTTTTTGCTGATTGCATTCCTTTTGTGTCTACTTAAACATTTTCCTATCTCTATTTCCTGTAAATTATCATTTTAGGTAAGACTATAGTTGTGTTTACTCACATGGAAGCACATAAGGTCTGTCCATTTATGGGTCCCTTTCTCTCTTTGATATCAGGAGATAATGATGATCAGTGCTTAGATTCATTCATTCTTCTGTGAAAAGAAATATCTCTTCATTGTTGTTTACCTACCAGCACAATTCACATAGAAAGGCAAAATAACTCTTTATTCTGTTCCCATATTTACCAATTTTCAAAACATCATGTTCTTGCAGGAGAATCCTCCACTGATGATCAGCTAATTCTGTTCTTCATTATGAATTCATAGATTTAAACAATAAAAAAGTAGCCCTATTTTTAGATGTCTTGTTCTCCAATGAAAAATCATTACTCCCAACTCATATAGTCTACCAGTTTATGCCTCAGAAGCTTTGATTTTAGGTGAGAGTTGACGGGAAAACATTGTGGAAAAGGACTATTAGGAAACTTTCATGACCTACAATCTAGACAATGTAAACTATTACCTTTTACAATTGCTGTGTGTAGATAGAAATAAAAATGTTATTGGTGATTTTTATTTACTAGACTGTTCAAAACATTTTAATTGTACTAATGCATATTAACTAACTTAATCCTTATATCGATAACATTATTTACCCCCATTTTACAGATTAATATACTGACATGATATATTCATAATTAAGTAATGTGCCCACCATTATCCAGCAAATAAGTAGAGAGATTGAGATTTCATTTCAGAGCCACATTTTCTCACAGTAACATGTTTTTGCTTTTGAAACTTATGCATTGTAGAAATTTCAATAACGAAGTAACTCATCTCTGTTTTGAATAGCAAGGTACTTTAAATCCCTGCTGGCATTGATAAAAAAAATGAAAGCAATTCATACAAACCAAGGACTAGAGCAATCAAAGATATTATTTCTGGCAAAAAGAAAAGATGATCTTATTTATAAATGTAATAAAGAACTTTAGGATGAAAGTACAGTGTGAACATTTTTAAAACATTCTGAATTTAAAGATAGTTGGAAACCAGCATGGTGGAGCAGAAAATTTTAGTAAGAATCAGATATATTGAGATATAAATCCAGCCTCTCTACTGACTAGTAACATGTCCTTGACATTTATTAATATCCCTGAAGCTTGGGTTCCTTGTCTGTAAAATGGGATGAGTAACATCAATCTCTTTATTCAATTACTTAATTGTTGGATGATGTCCTGTATATATTCAATAAAAGGTGACTTCTGAGCTTTTAACTTATGGAGTATTTTAATATTCTATTTCTTGCATTTTTTAGTTAACTGAGTTTTTAAGCTCTCTTGTAGAAATTAAATAAACTTGAATTAGCCTCTGAAAGTAAGACTTTTTTTCTTTTAAATAAAGGATAGTTAGCTTTGTCAGTTTACTCTGGTTCATTCCTTTTATTTCTGCCCAGTCTTTTAAGAAATAAGAGAAGAAAAAATTTAAGGCAACATAATCTACATTCGATTACAATTTGTAATATGCTGTGGCCATAGGGAGTGCTGAACAAAGGAGGAAAGTGGTTATAGAGAGTGGAAAAGTGGAATGTGGAGAGAGGAGGCCCTGTTTCCAGTATCTTTATCAAAGTAAGGTAATGAACAAGGAGAAACTTTCATACATGTCAAGACAGAAGGGAATGGAAATAGTGACATAGTCAATAATAGGCATCAAATTCACTGCCCAACTGTGTACATTTGCAGTTTACATTTATTAAATAACACACACACAACCACACCTATCTACATACACATATAGTACTAATTTGCAGTATCCTATCAACTGGATAGTAATGGCTGGTGTGAAGATACTGACCCTTTACTTCCTGTGCTAGTCCCATGCACTTGCCATTGTTCACCTCCATACCAGCACCCTGGCATGTCTGTAATGCCACTTTCAAGCCAAACAAATAAAAACAGCACTGGAGCATTAAATAGCAGTGTGAGGCCAACTTGCCTCTGCACCTATTCAAGATGAACTGGAAAAATTTTGTTCAACACACCCACGTATGAGGAATGTCATATATTCATTAAAGAAATTAAATTGTATATGACTCCATGCCCCTAGTTGCTCAAGTGCAAGATACCCTATACTTCCCAGAAATCTTAGGGAAGGCTTCCATTTTAAAATCAAGAATTTCTGGGCCTCCCTGGTGGCCTAGGGGTTAAGTCTCAGCACCATCACTGCTATGGCCTGAGTTCAATACCTGGGCAGGAAGCTAACCACATATGGTGCAGCAGACCTCTCCTGTCTCCCCTGCTGCTCCCCTCAGCAGTGTAGTTCAGTAGATCTACATGTTCTGCTTCCCAGTCTGTCTCCACTAAATCCTGTTACCACTGCTCCCCACCTCTCCACACCTCTGGCCTACACCCAGTTCTTCTATGCAAAAACAGATAAATAAAATTTTTAAAAATAATTATTTCTACAGATATTCTGATTGTCTAAATGACATGGTCAGTTTAAACGAAGAAGATTTAGCTTCCTCTGTGTCTAACTTGCCTGGAGGGGATTTTTTCACTATTCATTCATTTAACAAACATTTATGGACCACATATCATGCGCCAGGCATTTTCCTAAAGATAGGATAAAACAGACAAAAATCCATGATTCCATGAAATTTATCTCTTTATTGTCTATTTATCTCTGTTCAGAGTAGAAATCAAGTAAAGAATAGTCAGTGCTAAGAACTAATGAGGCAGTGAAAAAGACATAGCATCAGGACAGAAGGTTAACATTTTAGAAAAAGTGGCCAGAGAAGGTCTTACAGAGAAGGTGAATAAAGACCTAAAAGAAATCAGAGATTTTGGTACACAATTTGAGGAAAGGCATCCATAAAAAAGAGACCTCTTGTGTGCAGTCCATTAAGTGGGAGCAAGCTTGGGTACTCAGACACTCAGAGGCCAGTGGGGCTATGTGGAGTGAAAGAGGGAGAAAATGACAGAAGTGAAGTGAGAGTTAAAAGGGACTTGATAAGAAAAGGCCCCATAGACCCCCACAAAGCTCCTGAAAGCTGTGGCATCAAAATGATAGCCAGATCCCTGTCATCACACCCACTCTCTGCTGACCAATCTCCTCTTTCCTTCAGTCCTGCCTGAAGCTCACCTTACTTTTCAGGGGTCATCCCCAATTTTTGTAAGTGCTCCAGTCCATGCCTGTCCCCACAAATAAGCAGAGCTTTTTTATAGGCAATCAGCCTAGGAACCTAAACAAAAGCCTTAAAGCAGAGTGTCAGGTGCCTGTTTTCTACCTAAAGGAACTTTATAAATGGCACCACGCAAGAGAGACCAGAACTCATACCCCATGGTTCAACCTTCTAATCCCAAAAGGAAAGTAAGGACAGGGAAAAAATATTCTCCTTTGGAAGCAAGAACACAGAAATCAGCATGTCAGCAAATTATTCTGTGGCCCCCGGGGATGTGGCAGGCTCTGAGGAGAGTCCCTTCCATACATTATGACAATATGGTTTCTGGCAATTTCTGCTTTACCATCTATTTTACCCTGTTTAAAATGTAAAGATGGAGAAAGAGATTAATTTGTTTCATTTTCCATCTCCGGCTTCTATGATATAACTTGTCACAAAGTAGATGCTCACTAAATGACTGAATAGTGAAACATGTGGATGACAAGGATAATAAATATTTATGTGATCTGTAAAAGAATCAGTTGCTCTTGAAAGCCAAGGCAAAAGAAGGGGTTTTGTGAAATGACATAACCTATCTTGAAAGGGTGATTCAAAGTCATAGAGTTATTGTGTCAAAAACCACTGGCTCTCTCCCAATATCCACTCTCCTCTTCTAGAGTTACATATTTTAGCTGGACTCAGATGTAGTCAAGGAAAAAAAGACCACTTTCCCCCACAACTCTTGCATCTTAGTGTGGTCATGTGATATATTCTGGCCAATGGGATATTTTAAATAGCTACGGAAATACTTTGTGCCTATCAAAGGAATAAAGAAATAATCTTGCATTCCTTCTTCCTGGCTGAAATGAGGATAAGAGAGTGAACCATTTTGAATCATGCTGTCCAAGCAACACTCTATGGCTGGCAAAGTTAAGAGATGGGTGAGTATGTACCTGATCTGTCTAATCTCTAAAGTAATATTAGACTGCTAAGCCTGGACTGAAAATCATTGTCATTGTGAGTCCTGATTATAATAACTGAACCCCTATCCTAACTAAATTGGCAATCTTTCATTTCCTGCTTTATTAAGACTGACAAAGCAAATAAATACAAGATGAAACAAAATATGGCAAACATAACCAGTAAGAAAAACAAGGAAACCCTGAATCCTATAGATTCCATAATCTAAATATTTTTTTTCCAAATCGCCCCTTCACCCTAACCTCCCATCACTCCACTGCCACTGACTCTTGGTAACCTGAAAATAAACTCACTGCTTCCAATTCTAAATTCTTCAAATGAAGCCATTGCAAATCAGAGCAGATTTTTTATGAAGAAGAAAGGTGATTGGGTCCTTTGATTGCTCCAGGATGCTTTCAAGATCCCCAATATCTTCAATAGACAGTTCCAATCAACACAGGTATCGTTTCAAATCACTTTTTATGATCTAGTAGTCTCTGCCTTCTTTGCAGCCCATCTTCCCTTGTGATCTCCTCACTTCCAACCCCAAAATCATGTCTTATGTATGCTCCCCCTACTGACTTTAGAAGCATTCCTGCCAATGTGTTTTATGGTAACTCCCTACTCCATCCTTCCTTTAATGTTTTCTCTGATTTTCCTCAGGAACCATTATTCCACTGTGTTCTCAGAGAACCTTCTGGACACCTCTATAGTGGGAATTAGACTGCAAAGCTTATGTATCTGCTCCCCTTGACTGAATCTTTACATGCTTTGAAGGCAGGTCCTGTGAACCTGTATTTTTTCATCTCTAGTATTCAGCACCGTGTATACCATAGATACTCAGTATAGATAGCCACTCAGAAAATGTTAGACAAATGAGTGAGATTTAATTACACAACTCTCCCCATGTCAAAAGTATCTCCCTTTTTTCACACTAGTATTCTTGGCTTAAAATATTTGGAATATTGACTCGACTCTCCCTTTTCACTTTAATCTGTAAGTCAAACTAGGGCAGTTCCAGAAAGGACAAAAGGCA